CATGAGAAATAAACATGAATTAAGAGACATATGTGAATAGGATACTGCATGGACATACCAAACATATGGGATTTATCTTCACATTTACGACATACGCAATCCCCAAAAATCCGACTGCCAATGCAACCAATAAACTTAAGAATCCCAAGTCAAACACAAAGATGCTCTTATTAGGTAGCGTACACACACGTCTAATGGTAGCTTTTTCCCATGAAAAACAGAGCAATTAAAAAGGAACGAGATTATGCTGGTCGTGCAATGTGTAGTCCCCTGGGCTTTCTAATTGAGCTTTGTAGTAAGTGTTCGGTCAAGTGGTTTACTGGCTCGACTCAACTAGGCTTCGAACTATTCACTGACCATATATATAATTTATATTGGCCGTGCAATGTGTAGTCCCCTGGGCTTTCTAATTGAGCCTTGTAGCGAGCTTTCGGCCACGTGATTTACTGGCTCGACTCAAAAAGGCTTCGAACTATTCACTGACCAAATGGTTGTAGATATATATATATATATATATATATATTAGTAACAGTAGTTCAAGAGTAGCTTTCACTCATTAAAAGAGGCAGCTTTTCCCTATAAAAACATCCAACCATGACAAGACTATTCAGAGAAATAAATAAGTTGGAGCCTTTTAAGTAATCATTTTGGGAATTGGTGAAGTTCTACCCCCACAAAGATTAGAAGTAAATGAAGCATCAAATTCACATATGTCTCAATCAGATGCAGTATGCTTAATGCAGATCCAATATGAGATGCAAAAACATATGAAGTGTCCTACCACTAAAAGTTGCAAGTCTGGACACACAGACTAGTGCAACAGTTCATGCAACTGCATCAGATTAAGGAACATAAATTCCCAGCGATTTTCGCAAGGAATCAAATCTCTGTGCATCAAGGGTTTTTGCAAAAGCATCAGTTAATTCATTCTCCATTGCAGCATAATCAATTGAGACAACCCCCTTTTCAACCAAGCCCCTTATGAAAAGATGACAAATATCAGTAAGCTTAGTTCTCGAATGCTGAATTGGATTCATAAACTTATTTTTCGCATACAAATTATTACAATTCAGATTACGAAGTTTTTTATTCCCCAAACTAGCTTTGTCACCAGAACTGTTGGAACAGTTAGTACTATCATCACATGAGTTTAAAGAAGTAATGGCAGATAAACAATTAAGATCAGACTTCTTTACCCAGATTTTTTGTTGAGTTTTATCCACTAAATCAACCTTTATCTTGGGTTTTTGAGACGACACACAAGTGTGATCAATTTTAGCGGAAAGTGGTGAGCGGGCCATTATTCTTTTAACCATTTTCAAGTACTTAAAACACCTGGGTCGTATATGACCAGGAACATGACAAAAATGACAGGTAGGAACAAAAACTTTTCTTTGAAATGGCTGTGTTGGTGCAACTGTCGCAGCAGTCTGTGAAACAGTGGATTGCTTAACAAAATTGATTTTTCTTTTAGGATTTTCTTTATGTTTCGATGCACCAGTAGATAGTTGGTTACCCCCTATACCTATACGACAGTAGTTCGGCTGATTTTTTTTCAAAATTTCATTTAAAGTTACTCTACCAGTATTAAACTTAGAAATAACATCTTGGGTTTGAGCAAATTTAGCCTTCAAGCTATCTATTTCTCTACTAGAACAAATAACATTTTGTTCAAGAGTAGAAATTCTTACCTTCAACACTTTATTTTCCTCTATGAGAACATGCTTATCATTTTCAAGGCGCTTATTTACCTCAGATACTTCAAGCCACTTCCGGTACATTTTTTCATATACATCTTTCACCTCTTCGAGGGTTGGCTCTTCATCATCACTACTGCTCTCAGATTCACCTGCAAAATTAAATGGTGAAGTTAGACTATTGTCCTTATTTAAAGATAATTCATCATACCTGAAATCTGTCGGACAGACTGTTGCAACAGTTCCCTCGGTTCTGCTCATTGAAGTAGTACCACTGAATGCCATAAAGTTAGTGGTTTGATCTTCTTTGTTGTTCTCATCCTCATCACTGTCCTCTTTATCACTCCAAACAGTGGTGAGTGACATCTTGTTTTTCTTCAAAGTGTTCGCACACTCGGCCTGAATATGTCCAAAACCCCCACACTCTCGACATTGCAATCTCCTAGACTTTGCATCACCAGAATAACCATTATTAGAAAACTTTTTAAATTTGTTAGGGTTAACAGAATTACCTGATTGAGAGGAATTTTCTCTATTTTCAATTTTTTGACGCAGGCTTTCGAGGTTATTTGACATAATTGCTAAGGATTCTTCAACATCAATGTCACACTCATGAAATGTTTGGCCTTGTCAGATGCCATGGGAAGCTTCAGCTTGGAATGCCACATTCTTCACCTTTTTCTTTTCTCAAATATTTGCTCTAAAATTCATTTCTTGGGTTTGCAGTTTACCCATGAGTCCATCTAGCTTTAGCGTATTGATATCTCTCACTTCTTCGATTGCTGCAACTCTGTAAGCGAATCTTTCTGGTAATGAACGTAGTGCCTTTCTTACCAACTTTGTTTCCGAGTATTGTTCACCTAATGCATACGATTCATTTGAAATATCACACAACTTAGCATGGAAATCAGCAATCGTCTCGTCCTCCTCCATATGAAGACTCTCAAATCTCGTGGCTAGCATCTGCAGCTTAGATGTTTTAACAGTTGATGTGCCTTCATACGTCACTTGTAGGATCTCCCATGCCCTTTTTGCTGATTCACACGATGCTATCAGTTTGAACTGATTGTCACCAACGCCACTGAAAATTGAGTTTATCGCCCTTGAGTTGTAATTGGCAAGTAATATCTCTTCATTAGTCCATGCTTCTTCTGGTTTTACCGTTTGCATACCATCTGTTCCTTTAGCCATGGGCGGGGTCCAACCAGTCACGATAGCACGCCAAGCTCGTTCATCAACGGACTTGATGAACATCTTCATCTTCGATTTCCAGTAAGAGTAATTTGATCCATCCAAGAGAGGTGGTCGTACTGTAGACGCTCCTTCACGATGAAACATATCTGCACAAAACAAATTAAAAAATTAAATCCCAAAATCTCACTAAGTGTATCTAGTGACAGGCTCTTGATGCCAATTTTTAGAATTTATTTCGTGCAGATATAAATTATTTGTGTCAGATTCAGTTTTTCGTTACTGTTGCGTGAAGTGTTGCAACAGTTCGTGAAGCAGTTCGTAAAAACAGAAATAAACGAGACACAAATTTTAATGTGGTTCGGATACAATTGTACCCTACATCAACGGGGACCTGCAAATAAAATTTACTAATTTTTAGTTTTACGAATACAATAATAGGACTTAATCAAAATACAAAGACTCCCTCTTTGTTGCTGCCGTTCTTGTATACTACGCTGAATTACAAATCTTCAATTTGCAGCACGTCCCTTGCTCCGCACGGTTGAACTCCCTTCAACGCTGAATCCCTCAGTCGGCGGATCGATCTCCTCCCGAGATCTGTTTAAGCCCCTCTCTCGAAGAACCTATCTTCTTTTTGTATAGAAGAAGCAAACTTGTGATACTCCTTGAATCTTGGTGTCTTCACCACAAAGCCTTGAAGGCGGTATATTTTCTATGAAAATCACGTATCACGATGGAGCAATAAAAACGAGAGGAAAAAAAATATTTCTCTGAAATCTTCTCTCGATGAAAAAGACGCTCCGCGAGCAGCAAAAATAAGAGCAGAAAAATATAATTTTTCTTCTCCAACAAAAGGCGTGCAACAGCAACCAATAAGAGAGAGATCGGCTTCGCTCCAAAAAAAAACGCACGATGAAACGCAGTGATGTGCTGCTATATATTCTATGTTGAATAAAAGAGCCCTACAAAAGATTAAAGCCCATTAGGTTAATATTCAATCTTTACGTAAGGGAATAAGAATTGTGTAACAAGGAAAGTCTTTGTCAAGGAAATTCCTTGTTAACACATCACTTATGCAATTAAATAAATTAATGACAAAATAAGAGTTTAAAGCATTAAGGAAACTTCCCTAGCTTTAGACACACGTTTTTCACACACGTGCTGAAAAATCAAAATTAGAATCCTCTCGGATTCTAACATATATATATATGTGTGAGATACAAAAGTCCCCATTAGATAAGTCCAGTTACATTAGGTCCAAAAAAAATTCTTAATTCTAAGATAAATCCAAGACGTCTTTTATTAATTAAAAAAAAAGTTAAGTTTCACCATTGTACCCTTTAATTATTTATTCAACCCTAATTTTATTGCGTACAATAATCACCCCCTTTCTCAAAAAAAACAAAAAAAAAAAAATCACAGCCTCTTATTCGCCACCTCCCCGTCACCACCACCACCACCACCACCATATACACCACGCTCCGAGCAGCTCTACCTTTCTCCACCGCCGCCGCACCGCTGCCGGAGAGGAATGTCTCCGCCGCTGGGGATGGTAGCAGAGTGGTGGTCGGGAGGCACGAGATTCTGATTCGGTCGTGGCCGCATCCGGATCCGGCGGAGGTGATAAAGGCGCACAGAATAATCGAAGGGTTCAGTTTGAGCAAAGGTCTCAGTACGAACTCAAGAGACCTAGAATTGTGATTGCCATCACCCTAACTTATGTACAGACTTTTCAGGCACTGCATCTCACCGGAGTAATGCACACCTTGATTAATGTGCCCTACGATCTCATCTGGATCGTCGTCGAAGCAGCTGGCGGCACCACCAACGAAACCGCCTCCTCACTGATTTCGAATTCGGGATAGAAAACAATCTATGTCGGATTCGACCGAAAAATGCCTGTTTATGGGAGGATCGACATAAGCTTGAATTGAAGATGAGGCTCCACGCTCTAAGGTATATCTTAATATATGTCTGCCCTTTTTGTTTATTCTTGCATTGGTTTAGATTAAAGTGCTTATGTTTTTCGGTGTTTCAAAAAGCGCCGAGTAGTTAGAGAGAAGAAGTTAGATGGGATTGTAATGTTTGCAGATGACAGTAACATGCATACTTTGGAGTTGTTTGATGAGGTCCAGAAAGTCATGAAATGGATCGGTGCAGTTTCGGTTGGGATTCTTGCACAATTGGGAGGTTCTGAAGAAAACGGAGAATTATCGATTATCGGCAAGATAGATGATAGCCAAAAGGATGAAAAAAGTTCAAAACTCCAATTCAAGGACCAGCATGTAATTCTTCAAACCATTTGGCGCAATTGCACACTTTCGACACACGGCCCTTTATCGATAGGAGAGCGAGGTATATTGGTGAATGGGCGGTTGTTCTGCCAAGAAAGTTGGAGTGGGGTGTGTTTGTGTTGAATTTGAGGTTGTTTTGGGAAGACATGAGAGATAAGATTGAGTTCGCTGAAGTTTGATGTTTTCTTGGTAGAATTCATAGTGATTTTTTATGTTTATACAGTTGTGTATACAGAGTGGTTTTAATGTTTATATAGTTATTTATACATAGTGGTTTTCATGTTTATATAGTTGTTTATACATAGTGGTTTTCATATTTATATAGCTGTTAATGCATAGTGGTTTTCATGTTTATATAGTTGTGTATACATAGTGGTTTTCATATTTATATAGCTATTTATACAAAGTGATTTTCATAATGTCAGGCTTTGTCTTCGATAAATTTCTAGTGGTTTTGAACAAAATTAGAGTGGATTTCGTCTAATTCGTACTGGGGTTTCGATAAATTTATAGTGGTTTTCAACAAATTCATAGCAAATTTCGATAAGTTTATAGTGGATTCCATTTTGAATACCTGCTGGATTATTTTTAAATATTAAAAAAATTAATAATTTTTTTTAATCGAAATAAAAATAATAATAAAAAAATAATTAAACAAAACATTTTTTATTAAAAAAATTGCGAAAAAAAATATTTTTTTTTTCCAAAAAAAAATCGGAATTAAGAAAGAAAACCATTAAAAAACAAAAATAAAAATAAAACTATTTAAAAAAAATCAAAATGAAGAACATGAAAAATATAAATAAGAAAAAAATATTTTAAAATAAAAAATAAAAATAAAATAAAAAATAAAAAATAAAAGAAAACCATTAAAAAAGTTAAAAAGAAAAGGAAAAATAGAAACTGAAATGACGTTATATGTAGAGATATTAAGGAGATTTGTATAATTAAAAAAAATTAATTGATTTTTCCTAATAATATAATTTGGTAATTTTCAATAATATTAAATGAGGATATTATTGATAATTTGAGTCAATCGAGTCTAAACAAATATCAAGTAGTAAAAATGGATTTATCATTAACTAAAAAATCAATGAGGGATGTTTGTCATATAACCCCTATATCTATATAGTTTTACTAATAAATATGCAGCTAGAGTTTCTTAGGTTGTCCTAATATTTCTTTCTTTTATATATAAAATAAGATATATTGTATTTTCCACTAAAAAAAAAAAGATATGTATTTAAATAGCCAATCTATAATTAATGTGTATATTAGAAAGAAAAAATGATAGTGGCAAATGGAGTAAAATGTGTTGATAAGTAGGACAGCAAATAAATACTATGATATATGGGCCATCTCCAAGGTTAGATGCTAAAAATCGGAATGCTATATCTATAATAGCTGATGAACAGTGCTATAGCAACTCAGTTTTTACTATCCTGATCCAACCATATCATCTATATTTTAGCATTTTATTATATTTTATTACTTTTTTTATTTGATTATAAAAGATATTTATAATTAATATATATTTAATTAAACTTAAATAAATAATATTATTATTAATAGATGATAAAACTTAAATATATAATAAATAAATTTAGATATTTAAATAAATAATATTATAAGTAAACTTAAATTTAAATAAATAAATAAATATAGATATTTAAATAAATATATTTATTATAATTAATATTATAATAAATAAGCAATTAAACAAAACTTAACTAAATAATTAAACTTAAATAAAAAGACATTTATAGGATAAATAAATTAAATCAAACAAGAAAAAAGAAAAGAAAAATAAATCCTAGCCCATTTTGGGCCTGACACGTGACAATTATAATTAAAATAGAGTGAAAAGCTTTATTATTTTAATATTTTTTCATTTAGCATTTGTGTGCAGTAGCTGGTATATATACCAGATGGGTTTCTCTTTATACATGACATGCTAAAATTTAGCTTCTCCGTTGGAGATGAATTTTTGGGTCACAAATGCTATAATTTTGATTTTTTAGCATATAGCAGCTCCAAACATTGATGGTTGGAGATGCTCTAAGTAACCTGTGTAACCCTACAAACCGGCCTTTCGAGGTATTTTAGGGCCAGTTATGGGCACTTGTTCTTTGCCCTGTTTTCTCGCGAATCGAGTGGGGGTAATTTGGTAATTTAATTAGATGAAAAACATTTACATACTTTTTGAAGTGACGAGGCAACATAATATTAACATGCATGCCAAGATTCGAAAAATTGGTGACGAAATAAAAGCTTGAAAATGAAGGTAAACTTTACTACTACTGTTGAGATTCGTGTAGAGAAAGTTGTATTAATATATTCACCATGAAAATGAAACCAAATTTCCTTTTTTCTCCTTTATAAAATATAAGACTATTGACCCCTTTCGGTGATATTTTTCGTCTCTTCCCGGAATGAAATTACATTTGGAATGTTTCTCAAATTGAATTTCAAAAAGTTGTTTTCATTTTTTTAATTTAGTTTTTGCTCCTTCTGATGGATTTAACTGTTACAATAACAAAATTAATAAATTAAAATACAAACAATTATATTAATTAACTTGCTTCTCAATTTTCGCACGAGAAAATAATTTTCGAACACTTTTATATATGAATTGATTGTTACAATACCAAATCTTGTCTTCTCTCAAAATCCGAACAAACAATTATTATCGTTGTGTTAGGATTCATTAAATATATAATTTATTGCTCAATAAATCTTACGTTCGCGTAGGAAATTAAATATTGTGATTTATTTGCAAATGTATCAATTGATATCCAGAGCGAGGCTACGATTGTATCAACATAACTCATAATCGCATCCTACATTGATTTCAATATCAGTTGTTGGGCATATATATACTCATCATATGTACAAATAGAATGTGTAGTTATAGACTTTGGAGCTTCTCTTGATGTAAAATAATAAATTTGTGCATCATATAAGTCTTTAGGGTACAAGCCAAAAACAGAAAAGTGGAAATTATCAAATCCATTTTTGACATTGAAATGTGCCAAAAAAAATATGATGCCATACAAAAATATGCATAACAGAAAAAAAAAATAAAAAAAAAATAAAAAAATCAAAGAGGATAACATTGCGATTGTGGACCATCTTACTTACATAGTATTCTTCTGAGAGTAAAAATTAAATTTAATACATTTTAATATAAATACTTTGTATTTCCATTATTTAGAAAAATTATATGTGCCATAGCGTGTATATAATGGAATAGAATATTTGATTAGGAAGAAGAGGAGAAAAAAGGAAGAAGGGTCCCCAATGTAACTGGATAAATCCAACTTCGTTCTCTCCAACTCATCACAGATGCATCGCACAAAGCTACACCAGAAAGTTGAATATTATGGACCACTTACAAAATCGTGTTATTTAATTTTGTATATGAAAAATTCGAATGCATACATCAATTAATCTAATTTAAAAAAAGTGTTTTTTTGCACAAGTCCCCAACCAAACATCTTAATTATTCTAGGTTTAGGGGCTATATTTCTTTCATCAATAAGTCTATCCCTTTAATATTTATTATAAATAAAGGAAACACTCGTGTATATGTCAATATTAACCTCAACCATTTATACCAAATTTTTAATTGTAACCCCAATTTAATAAATTTTGTCCACAAAAATCCAATTTTGACCACAAAAATTCAATTTTGACTTATTTTTGGAGCATACTTTAATATGCTCCAATTTCATCATTAACTTAATTTAATCTCAATTTGACCCCAAATTTCACAAATTATTCAATTTTGACCCAAAATGTTTTTTTTAATAAATTTTTTTTTTCAAAAAAAAAATATTTTGCCGCCGGATTCCGGCGTTGACTTTTCAATTTTTTTTCTCTTTCTTTCGGATTTGATCGCCGGTTTCCGGCGTTGACTTTTTTTTTTCTTTATTCTTTTCTTTTCTTCCGGATTTTTTCGCTGGTTTCCGGCGTTGTCTTTTTTAGTGTTTTTTTAAGTTTTTTTTTTCTTTTTTTTTCGTTTTTTCTTTTTTACGTCCGCCGCTAAACGTTGATCGTAATTGTGCTGTCACTGACAGTAAATTAACGTAATTATACTGTCAATGACAGTTAATTAACGTAATTGTACTGCCGTTGACAATACATTTATGTAATTGTTTTGCAGTTAACAGTAACTTAACGTAATATTATTATTTTTTTATTTTTTGTTATTTTTTTTTGTTTGATTTGTTGACAACTCAACGTAATTATATTATTGTCGTTGACAGAAAAATAACTGTAAACACAATAATATTACTGTCAACAATATCAATATTATTTTTTTTTTTGGGTTTTTTGTTTCGTTTGAGTAATTCGCGGAGTAACGTAATAATATTACTGTCTATTATTGTAATATTATTGTAAACGCAATAATATAACTGTGGTTGACGGTAATATTACTATTGTTATAGTAATATTGCTGTCAACCACATCAATATTATTATTTTGTTTGAATTTTTTTGTTTGTTTGAGTTATTCACGGAGTAACGTAATAATATTACTGTCTATTATTGCAATATTACTGTGGTTGACGGTAATATTACTGTTGTTATAGTAATATTACTGTCACTCACAGTAATATTAATTCTTTTGGCTTTTTGTTATGTTTACATTTGTTGAACGGTCAACATAATAATATTACTCTATTACACAATAATAATGAGTTTTGTTGTGTTAATATTACTGTGCTAGAGATTAATATAGCAATATTACAATGTTAAACTGTAGTTTAGTTAATTTTACTGTGTTTAACAGTAATATAGTTAATATTACTGTCAATCACAGCAATATTGTTGTTTAAACGAAAAAAAAAGGTAAAGAAAGAAAAAAAAAATATTCGAAAAAGTCAACACCGGAATCCGGCGAAAAAAAAAAAAATTTTATAAAGTCAACGCCGGAATCCGGCGGGAAGAAAAAAATTGAAAAAAAAATTTTGGGTCAAAATTGAATAATTTGTGAAATTTGGGGTCAAATTGAGGTTAAATTAAGTTAAGTATAAAATTGGAGCATATTAAAGTATGAGGGATTATGTTAGTCATTTACAAAAATCTAGACCATGTGTGGACTTATTGGTAAAAGAGATTTTTGTTTGGATCTCTTTATGAATAAGTACCCATTGATGGGCTTATTTGTATCACCCCTAAAAAAATGGAAATATGTGGAAAGAATATAAGCGTAAACTGCATAAAAACCCCCCTGTGTTATGGAAAACCTGCACCAAACCTCCCCGTGTTAATTTTATTGCGTAGAATCCTCCTGTATTTTATTTTATCTTGCATGAAATCCCCCATTCCGTTAACAATTAAGTAACACTGTTGACTATTTAGCGATTCCATACAAGTTTTTCATAACACAAGGGGGTTTAGTGCATGATTTCTTCAATATATGGGAGATTTATGCAAAAGTATTTTTTTATTTAAAATTTGAATTATTTTTTAAAACTAATTCAAACACATATATTCAATTACAATATAAAAAAATTAAAGATAATGGTAAGGATGACATTTCTAGCAAGTTTTCTTTTTAAATTTTGCCGTTTCCAATTCAAAATTTTAAATTTTAGAACATTTTTTTCTCTCATTAGGATTTCCAACATTTGATTCCATTTCTTTTACAAAAATAATTGCATCAAAATTGAAACTAAATAACAGTTTGGAAATTTCCAATTTTAAATAAAAAAATTATTTTTTCAATGTATTTAGTAAAATCAAAATAATATATTTATAATATCAAAATTGTTATATATTTTTATAATTTAGCTTGGATGTATTACATTTCAAAGAATATAAATAATATCAAAAATTCGAATTTAGTTTTGATATAAATATTTATATTAATAATTTTGAGTGACTTTCAAAGATTGAATAAATGTGTTTGACTTAATTTCAAAAAATAATTCAATAAAATATAGGGTTCTGCACAATAAAATTAACACCGTGGAGTTTGGTGGACTTCTTTGACCCTACACCCAGTGATAAACATCAGATGAGTCTTCTGCTGCCACGTGTCACTTTTTGTATTTTATAATATATTCTCCCACTAGGGTTAACATGTAGGAGTTTTAGAAAAAATCAATGTTGTTAGAACCGGACCGAACTGGCCGGTAGGACCGGTTCGACCGTGACCCAGCAATAAAGCGGTCCGGTCTGACATCTAAAACCGGAAAAATCAAAAACCGGGGTCAAATGACTAAAATCCGGTTCGACCGGATAAAACCCGAGAACCGACGAGTCAGTCGACGAACCCTGTTTTTTGCCAAAACATCTCGAATCACCGCTGAGTTGGTTATTTGTGGCTACATTTGAGCGAACATTCACAGACTTCGTAGTGGGTGACCGAATCTAGTCATGAGTGGTCGAAGGATTGTCGGATATGATCATGGGTGATTGAATAGGGGTGGTCGATTGCCGGATTTGAAGAATAAAAAATGAAAAAAAAATATAGAGTATAAGCAATAACATAGTAAAAAGTGAAGTAAAATAGATAAAAATGAAAATAATAAGTGGGAGATTAAAAAAATAAAGAAAATAATATTTTTAAAACATTAAAATTAATAAAATAATGGCATATTAAAAAAAATCAAAAACCCGGTTGAACCGGTTCGACCCTATAAAACCATGACCCAAATGGCCGTTCGGTTCTATTGTCGGTCCGGTTCAGAATACATTGGAAAAAATACAAAAAAGGACATGTGCCAGCAGAAGACCCACCATATTTATCACTGGACGTAGAGTCAAAAGGAGCGGGGTTTAGGTGTAGGTTTTCTATAACACAAGGGTTTCTTCATTTACCCTGGAATATTGAAAAAAAAAAAAAAAAAAAAAAAACGAAATAGTTGAAAAGAATAGACATAAAAACATATTCTATCTAATCCTAAAACAAAATATTGACAAAATCTTCATAAAGAATGAGAAAATCGTACCAAGGACACGTCTCCTTTCTTCCGTATGCAGAGATTCGTAATTGTTTTTTTTTTTTTTTTTTTTTTTTTTTTTATATCAAGGTGCTTCTCAACATCAATCACTCTGGCTCCTTCGACCCTACACCCGATGAAAAATACCGAGTGGGTCTCCTGCTGCCACGTATCCCTTTAATATTTTTCTAAAATCCCTAAAGGTAAACTCTAGCGGGAATATATTATAAAATACAAAAAAAAGACACGTGGCAGCAGAAGACCCACCCGGTGTTTATCACCAGGTGTAGGGTCGAACAAATCCAATCACTCTCACACTAATTATGTTAAATGTCATTTCAATTTTATTAATACCGTTTTGACTTAGAACGTGATTTTGATCATTTTTTAGTTTAAATTTGGCAAAATTCAAAAAACGGATATGTTAGTCCTTTGAGTTAGCTTTCCAATCCAACTTGAATCAGCTAGATTGGATGACGGGTGATAACGTGATACATGAATGAGTTACATTTTAAATTTTACATAATTTAAAATATCAAAGTTGTGGGCAATGTTCATTGATTCATGCATAACTTTCGCAATCAACACCCAATCTTGGCGGTTCAAGTTAGATTAGAAAACTAATTCAAAGAACTACAAATTCCATATTCTGAATTTTGCCCAATTCAAACTAAAAAATGGTCAAAATTACATTTGAATTTAAAACAACATTATTAAAACTGAAACGACAAGTATAGAAAAACCTCCGATACATTAATAATAGCTTCAAAATCCAACAATTCCAACAAGTACAAGTGTACATCCCCCACCCCCCAGGATTTATATATAAATACACACAATTCACTCTCCATTTTCTCCACATAAAAAACAAGAAAACCCTACTAGCAGTCTTTTCAGACAACACATATTCCAATATATTATTATTTACTTCTTCTTATCAGTTATTAGAAGTTTTGATGGAGAGAGTGAGTAAAATGGTGTCGGAGAAGGCGGTGGTGATATTCAGCATGACGAGCTGCTGCATGAGCCACACGATCATATCACTCTTCAGCGAGTTCGGCGTCAATCCGACGGTGTACGAGCTTGACGAGATCTCCAGTGGGCGGGAGATTGAGCAGGCCCTGTCCAGGCTCGGCTGCAACCCCACCGTGCCGGCGGTGTTCATCGGCGGCGAGTTCGTCGGAGGTGCCAACGAGGTCACGAGCCTCCACCTCAAAAGGGCACTAAAGCCTATGCTCGAAAGGGCCGGCGCACTCTGGGTATGATCGATGACGTCATTGCTGTGTTGTTTAACTGGGGCGCCTACCCGAATGAATTAATAATTAATAATTAATAATCACAGTGCAGTAGTTTTCGTTGCACCTGGTGTTATTATATTATATGCTTTTGTAGAATCTTGTTGCATATCGGTTCTTCTCATTTAATGTTGTTAACCAATTTCTATCGGCAATGATATATGGATAAAGTTTTGTGATATATGATTAATTGTGTCATCGTCTTTTATTTATCTGCCTTTTATTTGTGCAATATAATCAACATTATCATGACACTGAGCGTGTTTGTGTTGTAAATCAACAAGATGTACCTGCAGCATTACAAAACATTGTTCACTGTTATAATCATCGTAGACAATCTATTGAGCAATTGAGAATATAAAAATATTATCAATGTTTATTTCATTTTTATCCCATAACTCATTGAAATAACTTATGGACTCGGTATTCTCGAGATTTGATATCGCTTTTTCGATATCAGACTCAACTGAATGTTCTGGAGTGCTCACTAGGAACCACTTGGTTCGAGGGTTGTTGGTGATTTTACCTACACGCAAGTGCACGTATCGAACAACTAATATAGTGGACAATTAAGTCCGAATTAAATATCGATCCCATAGAGTATATTAAATTAGCTAATTCTAATCATTAAATTAAATTCTACCAATTGTGATCAAGCCCACTCTACACAATAGAGAGAAGATTGATTAAAGAAAATTAAACTAAATTAAACTGGCAAGAGCAAGAAAGCATAAAGCACGAAGATTATCAGAGCAAACAAGCCTAGGATTTTATTCTTTCCTCTAGGCGATTATTAATTCCCCAATTCCTCAATTATGCAAGTTATTCAACCGGAGTACTAACCTAAGATGCTAAATTAATCATATCCCGCTTTTGCGTGTATTATGATTCTAATATTTTAAATTGAATGACTGTATTCCTACGCAATTAAATCTAGAACACAGCATGAAGCACGAATCTCGATAATAGCTACCTAAGAGATTAACTATATTTCTATGTTAATACAACAGAGGCTCTTCTACCCGAATTCTAATCTTCCGATTCATGCGTTTAACAATAATAGGAAAGCGCATAAAGGGGCCAGTTTCATTCACTTAATAAAACGAGTAGAAGAAATAATACGGAATTAAATCTTGCATAAAATCACAGAAAATGGTTCATAAATTCCACATAGCGTTCAAAATAAAATCCTAGAAAATAAGAGTTTAGCTACTCATGATTAAATTAAAATCTAAATAAAAATAATTCATGAAAGATAAATCTATGCTTGAAGTCTTCAAATTCTCCGTCTTCGTTATCGCTTCTTTGCTTTCAAAATTACGTAAGATGGTCGTCTGGAGATTTGCTCTTCATTTCGGAGTTTTTGACAAGGGTGGGTAGTGGATGAAGATGAAGAATGAATAGAAAATAAAATTTGACAGAAATACGTCACAAAATTGGGTGGTGGTCGGAGTTGTTGTTGAGACCTTGGGATGTTTTGGTTGAGGTTGGAGGAAAATCGAGAAGGACCAACAGCGGCAGTGCTCCGGCAGTCGAGAAAGGGGCGGGGCGGCGGTGGTGGAAGGAGGGTGAGCATATTGGTTTCGGTCCACGAAGTACCAAGGCCAATAGGTTCGGCGAAAAAAATAAAAGGTTGGGCTTGTCTGGGAAGAAAATGAAGATGTTAAAGATGTTTGGGGGGATGATGAAGACGATGCTTTTCTTTTTTCTTTTCTTTTCAATTGATTTATTTATATATAATACTTTTTATTTAATAGCAAAAGAATCTGGGTTATTTTTGGCTTTTCACGTGTAGTCAACGGCTAATTTGTGAATGGGTCGAGTGTGTTATTTAAAAAAGTTTGTACGGGGATTTCAGTGATTTTTTGTAACCCAGGGGGTTTTTGAGCCGTTCGAGATTTCACAAGGGTACTATTTGCAAAAAACTCGTGTGAAAATATACACTTCACAGGGGTTCATAAATTTTCCCCTTTATTTTTCTGAGAATAACGTCCTTTAATCCAATAGATCTAACCCATTTTTGTGGTAGGGGATCATCATTCATTTTTGCATGTTCTTCATGAACAACGATCCTAGCAGGAACATTCACAACTGGAATATAAGATTTTGTGACTTTATTGGCATCATTAAATGCATCATAAAGTCCATTGGCGATATTTTGTAAGTGAATGATTCTTTCAATCTCGTTTTTACATTCAGAGGTACCTGGGTCTAGATGAAATAAAAGTTGCTCACACTAAGTGAGATTATCGATTGGTTTATGTTTATCATTATTACGGATATTATGAATATCCTTGCATATCCGCATAAATAATGTCTCATCAAAATGGCAATCCCCAAATCTCGCGGAAAATAAAGCACCCGTTATTGGTTCCAAGAACCTAATATAATTGACGGTGAATCAAACCCAGTGTATATGCCAAATCGGTAATAGGGACCCATTTAAGTCTTCTGAGGATGAGGAATTGGCACTTGCACAGCGCAACCAAATGTGCGTAGGCGCGAAATATTGGGCTCAAAACCTAAGGCCAATTGTATTGGGAAATACAAATGATAAGCAGTGAGGCGTAATTTAATCTGTAGTGATGAATGCAATACTGCATGGCCCCATGCTGCAATAGTTAGTTTAGACTCATCTGCAAAGTATGAGCAATTATTTGGACGCGTTTAATCAAAGATTCGCCAGACCATTTTAAGTGTGAGCGTATGCTACTGGGTGCTCGACATTTATTCCTAGTGTTGCACAATAATTTGTGCCAATAAATGCGAAAATGCCACATTCCGCGTAGTACCATTAGACAACATAATTGTTGCTATCCCGGAGCCATTTATTATCTTCATGGGAACTGATATGGTTTCAACCTATGCCTTGCATAATATCACACTCGAGAATATATTTTATTATTGAATATTGAGTGTGTAGTTGCACTATCAAGTAGGCAATAGTAATTTTTGTCCATGTTTTTCATATACTTGTGATCAAAATTCAGCTCGACCTCAGGAATATATCCTCTAATGGATATACGTACATGTAGGTATACACAAAACAACTCGATCTTGGGAATCACACTATCCAAGAGAGATTATACATGGATACACTCAAAATAGTTCAATCTCGGAAATCACACTTTCTGAGAGAGATTATACATGTGGGTATAAAATAACCCAAAACCCTTTAAGTTTGGGCTTGTGATTAATAAATAGCCTCCAAGTTGGCTCTTGACAGGTCTTACCTCGTCTAGTGACTCTAGGAGCTTCAGGCTTGGAGTTATTTCTCAGATCATTAGCCTTTAAAACGGTTTTGGACGGATATTGTCACGTCTTATCTCAACGAGTTTCAACTCGGAGTTATATTCGTGATTTAGCCTCTAAGTTAGCTTTCTTTTCTCAACGAGTTTAGACTCGGTGTTATATTTACTATTTAGCCTCTAAATCGACTTTCTTGTCTCAAAGAGCTTAGGCTCTGAATATATTAACGATTTAGCCTCTAAATCGGCTTTCTTATTTCAACGAGCTTATACTCGGAGCTATATTTCATTTACTTGACGGGAAACCCAACGTCTTGGCTCAACTAGTTTTTCCGCTCGAAATTATAGTATGACCTCTATACGGTCTCTGTTAAGCTCTACGGGTACTATGCCCGGAGTTAAAATGATAGCCTCTAAATCGGCTTTAAACGGAGATTATTATCTCCCCAGCTACACGAGCATCGTGCACGAAGTTAATTTCATGTGGCCTCCAAATCGACGTTCAACTGAATTATTATATACTTCACTCGACAAACATCATGCTCGGATTTAATATCTTGGCATCTAAGTTGGCCCACAGATCTGTTAAAATTAGCACGTGCTTATAGCACTGCTTAGGATCCACAAGCTTGCAAATATAATTTTGATCAGCAACAATTCAGCTAATATTTTAGTTATATATACACGAATCCATCGTATCCTTTGAGAAATGATAACGTATAAAATACCGAAGTATTCGCTAATCATTCTCAAATCGTGTGTGATTGATAATATCCCCAAAAAATCGCTTCCCAAATTTTCCATAAACTGCCATCTGCAACTATAATTTTTTATATATATAATTTAAATAAATTTAAATTTTCTTTTTTTTATTATTTTATTTAAAACTAACAATAATAGCTTTAAAAAAAAAATTGTTTTAATTTTTTATTTAAAATTTATTTTCGTTTTTTTTTTTTTTTAATTTCTGTTTTTTTGTTTGTAATCAACTATAAAGATTCTGAAACCAACTATAATATTTCCGAAATTGACTATAATTTCGATTTTTTATTTCATTTTTCTTAATTTTAATTTTCGGTTATTTTTGGCAGTTTTTCCAGAAAACAAGTATTTCTTTGCCATTTTTTTTAATAAAAAAATAACTATTCGAAAAACTACAAAAACCTACCGAAAACAACTAAAAAATAGTAGAATAACGAAAACAACTAAAACAAGTAGTAGAATAACGAAATCAACTATAAAAATAGCAGAATAGTGAAAACAACTATAAATATAGGAGAATAGCAAAAACAACTATTTTCTGAGAAAGATACTCAACATCAAAAGCATCACAAAAAACTTAAAAAGAAGACGGTGGTGGGGCAGAGGTGGAATGGGCAAGATGCGGCGGTGGCAGAATCACCAGATCCGGCGGCGAAGACGAGGGGTAGAGATAGATAGGGATTTATGAGTTCTTGTTCTTGTCTTAGACAACTATATCGAAAATTATAGCAATGGCGGCAACGGTAACGACACGAGATCTCCAGATCTGGCGGTGAAGACGAGATTTTTTTGAGAATGTTACATCATCGGAGTGCTGGGTAGATGGAGTGAATTTTTCACCATCACGGCGTTGAGGAGTGGCTTTTGGCGGCGTCGGTCGGAGATGGTGACAATGAGATTTCTCATCTGCTCATTACACTTATTTTGGACGGTCTGATTAGTTCCTCGGTGGAGCGGCTCAAAGACTTCGGCAATAGAGAGGCGGCGGCGAGCGGAGGGAGAAGGGAGAACTTGGCGGCATCGGAGTTGAGGTGGAAGGGGGAGATGGCGGCGACAGGGCTGAGATGGAAGGGGAGAGATGGCGGCATAGAGAGAAAAGAGAGAGAGAAGAAGAAGAAATACAATTAGAACGTGATAGGATTTGGCAATTTAAGAAATGATAAATCTGAAATAATATAAGTAAATTATAATTTT